AAAAAGTTGGATATCATTGGTATCAAGAGTGATGTGGGCTAATTTTAGTCTGCCTTAGTCTCAGCCTGTGTTTATCCATTTTATATAAGCCAGGACATCACATTCACTGGGCAAGTTTACAGGATTAATTCTGCTGTTGTCCTGTGTCTTGCACTGTGCTAGACATTATAGAATCCATCTTATACAAAAGAGATAGTAACCATAATCCTTGTACTTGAAAGTTAATGGTATTGCTAGGAATTAAGGTTTGTTAGCAGTTTCACTGGAACTTTTGTGTAAAGTTTATGACTAAGTACTAAAGTTCAGATTTAGGGTTTAATGGTAGAATTCTCACCTTCTTTGTGGGAGACCAGGGTTCCACCCTCTGTCAGTGCACCTCATGTGTAGCCATCACCCCTCTGTTAATGATGGCTTGCATGTTGCTATGATGCTGGACAGGTTTCAGCAATGCTTCTAGACTAAGGTGGCTAGCAAGAAAGGCCTGGCAATCTCCTCCCCAAAATTGTTGTTGTTGTTGTTATGTGCCGTCGATTCGGCCCCAACTCATAGCGACCCCTCCTTGGGTTTCCGAGGCAGTATCACTACGGAAGTAGGATTGCCCAACCTTCCTTCTGAGGAGTGGCTGGTGGGTTTGAACCGCCAGCCTTTTGGTTAGCAGTCAAGTGCTTTAGCCACTATGCTACTCGATGGCAAATAACAACAATCCCCAAAATTAGCGAATTAAAACCATCTGGATGACAATGGTGAGATATGTGAATTATGTAGATGGTGCAGGGCAGGGGCAGCATTTCATTCTGTTGTGCTTGGGGTCACCATGAGTGAGGGGCCAACTTGATGCCAGAAAACATAACCTTCCCAAGCTAAGCTCAGCAAGAGCTGGCTACAAGAGCTTATATGCTCTCACCGTCCGTGGTCTGAATTAATATAGTAAATTTAAAATAATAAAAGTATCTTTAATTGTGAGATAACCAAATGAATTTATTTTTGTTGACTGAAAACAGAAAAATACAGATATTTAGCTACAAAAAAACAAATGATTAGGAAGAATGGAGAGTGGTTAAAATCATGAAATTTGTTCTTAGTAAAACCTGGGACTGAGCCCCAGGTCAACTAGTTATTAGCATCTCACAGAGCTGTTATAAGGATTGATTGAGATTGTGAAAATCAAGGGCTAAGCATGGTGCCTGACTTTTAAGAAAGACTCAATGAACAATTGCAGATATTATTTAGTGTATAGCTGAAGCTGGCACTTTATGACTGGCAGCCTGTTTTTGTGAATGAAAATTTATTGGAACATAGTCATGTCCATTTGTTAATATGTTATCTATGGGTACTTTTGAGCTTTAATGCTCTAGTTGAGGCACTACAACAGTAGCCATATGGCTGGCAAAGCTGAAATTATCTACTATCTGGCCTTTTATAGAAACAAGTTTGCTGACTTCCGGTTTATAGAATAAGAGACAAGAAAACTGAGGCCAATAAATCTTTGTTGTTGTTAGTTACCATCAAGTTGGTTCTGACTCATACCCACCCCGTGTACAACAGAACAAAACATTGTCTGGTTCTTTGCCACCCTCACAATTGTTGTGTTTGAGTTCATTGTTGCAGCCACTGTGTCAATCCATCTTATTTAGGGTCTTTCTGTTTTTGCTAACCCTCCATTTTATCAAGCATGATGCCCTTCTCCAGTGACTGGTCCTTCCTGATAACATGACCAAAGTACAAGAGACAAAGTCTCTCTTTCCTCATTTCTAAATGCTCCTTAGAATTGAGAATAGAGAGATTTCATCGTCTTCTGTACTTTGGTCAAGAAATCCAAGTCTATTAATTCAAAAGTGTACAAAGACAGAAATTCTAAAAATAGTGAAGTGTAAGAAGTGGTACTGAGATGTTAAAACAAAAGCAACTGAACTAGACCCTTGTGGCTTCCTTTCTTAGTCCGTCATGGAGTTACACATCTAAATTTCAGTTGAACACGAAGGTGAGAGGGACAGGAAGCTGATTTTACTTCACTGAAGTGGTTGAAACTTGTTTACCTGTTTTCTTATCCAGATATAGAGAAAAGACTCTAGTTGCACATAAACAAAGCCAAGAAACAAAGAGTTGAATTAAAGTTAAGTGTTCAAAATAAAATAAGGAGTGTAGTCTCCTCTTCAATGAACTCTTGTTAGTTTCAGTTGTTGTGGGTGGTAGGGTACAATGTAGTAAATGAGTCAAACTGGGAATTTGTCTTGATTTAATAATTTCTGTTGTCTTTGTAATCTTTTTGTACAAATTCAGTATGGTTCATTACAAGAAGATCTCCTCCTCAAAAAGGCAAAATCTATCCCCTAGTATCATATGTAATTCAGAATTTCCTTGGAAACTGAATTTTAAATTAGCAATTCCAGACATTCTAACTCTAATTTACTAATTCTAAAATTTTCTTTAATTTTTATAAAAAAGAATTAAGTGAAAGGACACAGTGAATAATAGAGAAAAACTTACAAATTGTTGATGCTATTGGGCCATAGATGTACTGGGTTTCATATCGAGTTGCTAGTGCCTCAGTGCCAATCTTTGCAACTTTGGCCTGGAGAGAATGGACAGTTAGAATGAAATAATAGAATACTATGCAAATGACATTAATTTACTGGGGATAAGAAAATTCCATTTTACTGGTTATTTGGCTTTTGAAGGTCTAAGTAAAATAAATGGTTTATGAGAAATTTATTTTCAGTAGCTATGTTGTTGTTGTAAAGACTCTTCTAACTATGAAATCAGCCATATACAGTAATACCGTGTCTCATCTTGTGTTTCTCTCTCCTCTCTCCTCCTTCCCCCCTCCTTCCTTTCTTCCTTCCCTCCTTCTTTTTTTTTAATATATGATTTCTTCTTCTTAGATTTTTTCCTAGCTTCAGATCTTTTTCTATTCCAAAGTCAGTTTCTGCAATCTCTCCCATGTTCCTCCTTCTTTTGTCTTTATAAGTCTTATTTTGCCACAAGACTTTCCTCCACTCATGTGATTTTAGCATACAAAGAAAATAAAGAGGGTTGTCTCCTCTTTAAAATAGTTCTGTTAATTTAGAGCTTCTCTTTCAAAATGGCTTTTCATGACCTTTAATACACGTTAGTGCTTTGTGCTACGAGAATGATTGTCAGAATTAACTTTAATAGCATATAGTCACTAACATATTGGCACTCAAAATAAAGATTTTTTTTAGTATATATATATATCATGTGTGTAACCAATAGATAAATATTGCTTAATCTATTTAGTTGTCATGTAAAAACAATTATTTTATTCAAAGTGATTTGTTGTGAATATATGTATTTTTAATCACTTAATACCATTTTTCTAGAATAGATTACAGTCTCTTTACTAAATATTTGCATAAATCAAACAAACTTACAGGCTCATATTTTCAGTGAGTTTGGTTAAACGATTGACTATAGAGCACATTTTACTTGTGTATTTTCTTTGTTTTATAGTCACACATGGTTTTAATGACTGGTTCATATCTCTGCACCAACTCAAAATTAAATGCTGTTAGGATGACTACAGGAGCTCTGGTGGTGTAGTGCCTAAGGCATCTGACTGTTAACCAGAAGGCTGGTGGTTCAAACCCACCAGCCACTCCTGGGAAGGAAGGTTGGGCAATGTACTTCTATAGTGATACTGCCTCGGAAACTCAAGAAGGGATACCTATGAGTTGGATCCAACTCCATGACAGTGAGAGGATGACTACAATTGACTGAGATCATAATGACAATTGTAACCTTTAATTTTTTATTTTTAAATGTGGTGGTATTTGAGCTACAGCTTTTACAGAAAGTGCTGTATTTGTCAGCCACCATTGAATCTAGGACACAGAACTTCATCTTCTGTATTTCTTTTCTTCTACAACAATTCAAAATATCCATGTAGCTATCTATTCACTCTGCCAGTTCTTTTTATTCACTGGAACCAAATGCAGAGGTTTTTTTTTCCCTTTAATCAGCTAATATGATAATATCAGTTTTCATAGAAAAGAAAATGATTCTTAGTGGATTATAGTTCTAGAAGGCAGCATGTTCTTAGTGAGGAAGCTTCACAAATATTTCTAATATTTTTTCTTTAGATAGTAAATGTATCATTTCTATGTGATTGGGAAGGTAGAAACACAATTGATCTCCTTAAATCTGTTGTCAGGGAGATAGGACTAGCAGATCTCTTTGCTATTCCATTATGCTTTTTCTGTGTGGGGTTTTATTGTATGACCCAAAGAAAATGTTAAACTCCACAAAAGATCTGTGTAGTGATAATATTCTACTCTGGATTGTACAGATATTGTTTCCTATCTTTTTAGAATAACATTTAATGATTTTATTTTCTATACACTTTAATCAATTGAAAGTTAATCTCAAGAATACAATTTTATCTCCATGCTAAACTTCATTAGTTCTTTACTTTGGCATTAAAATTTGAAAATCTTTCAATATAACCGATATTGTTAATGAAGCATAGATGAAGTCAATGCAGGTGTCAATGCATGAACCATATAGTTGTTTCTACTTACAAGGTCCTTGTGGTTAGGTGCCAGTTTTGAAGTATATCCATAAGGAAACATTAGCATCTGGGAATAGGCGTGGAAGGTGATGTAGGCCTTGATTGAGTTCAGGTGGCTTCGAATGAAGTCAGCGACAGCTTTGGTCTCTTTCTCGGACTCTGGGGCAGCACCTTGATAGGTATCTCCACATGGGTTATTGTTTCCAGGAAATGCTGCAGGAAGACATAGCTGGATGAGATAAAAACCTGCTTCCCATTACTGCAGCCCTTTCCTTGGCCAATGTGGATTCACAAAACACTTGAAACATTTCAGGATTCCAGGTTCACAGGATGGTTTCAATGGCTTCAATGTCACTGTTACTGTATAGTAATTTTGCTTACACATGTCAGATTATAACAGACTTGTTAGGTACTGTCAAGCCGATTTTTGACTCATAGCAAGCCTGTGTGACAGAAGAGAACTGCCTCATAGGGTTTTCATGGTTATAATCTTTATGCAAGTAGAGCACAGGTCTTTGTCCCACAGAGCTGCTGGGTAGGTTCAAACCACTAACCTTTCAGTTAGCAGCTGAGTACTTAACTGCTGCATCACCAGAGCTCCTTGTAATAGACTTCTAAAATAAACAATCAAACCCACTGCCATGGAGTTGATGCTGACTCATAGTGACCCTGCAAGACAGAGTAAAACAGCCCCGTAGGGTTTCCAAGGCTGTAATCTATGGAAGCAGACTGCTACAGCTTTCTCCTGGGGAGTGGCTGGTGGTCTTGAAATGCTGACCTTTTGGTTAGCAGCTAACCACTTCACCATTGCTAATCTCTTGGAATATGCTTAGGCTTGTTTACTACCCTTCCCTTTACTAGGTCACAGAAATAATACATCAGAAGCAGCCTAGGAGTCGGAGAACCCTGAGATCCAATGCAACACCAGACTTTACTAGCTAGGGAGTGATATAAATTACAATTTCTGAACCTGTGTTTCTTCCATTTGTTTCAGTAGGGAGCTCTCAGTTGGGATAGCTGCTTTTATCATATTCATTACGGGAGAATAGAATTGAAAGCCAAGGTGATATTTTCCACAAAATTAGGTACAGAAAAAAATATACAAAATGGGACAGTGGTAACTTAGACTTGAATGTCTGTAATCATAAAGTTATATTTGCAAAGCAAGCACAGCATCATGGGATCTAGTAGGCCTCTGCTTGTCAAATCTCCCATTCATTACATTCCTATTAGTCTTTTTCATTTTTCTCCCCTCACCATAGTGCTAAATATCTGAAGAATTACCTATATGTTGGTTTTGAGTCAATTATGACTTATAGCAATCCTATGGGGCAGAGTAGAACTGCCCCATAAGGTTTCCAAGGCTGTAAATCTTTGTGGAAGCAGACTGTCCCATTTTTCTCCCTCAGAGCCGCTGGTGGATTCAAACCACGAACCTTTTGTTTAATGGCCAAATGCATTAACCACTCTGCCACTAGAGCTGTCTGTTTTATTGGCTCTTTATCAACTTTTATCACCAGGAAGAGAATGGGACCTCTGGATTGTACCTAACTTTTAGCATGTTAGATACATTAGGGAAAAAGTAGCTTGAGAAACAACCTTCTAAGAGACTACCTCCTCACTCCCATTTCCTTGTATTCCTACAGCAAAACATGTGCAACCCTTTATTTTCCATTTTGTGAGTTAGAAAATGAACACTCAGGGAATACCCAAACCAGTAAAATCAGTTGCTGTAGAGTTGATGCTGACTTATTATGACCCTATGTGTGTCAGAGAAGAACTCTGCTCCACAGAGTTCCCAATGGGTGATCTTTCAGAAATCTACCAGCCCTGTCTTCTGAGTTGTCTCTGAGTGGACTTGAACCTCCAACCTTTTGGTTAGCTGCCCACAGCAGCTCAGAACATTAACAGTTTGCACCTTCAGGGACTTCAGGGAATATCTCTCTTTACTGAAATAAACAGGTAGTTTAGCTAAGTTTGGTGTTTAAACACTCTTTATAGCAGTTTTCCTGGAGACCAAGTTTGCTACTCACAGTTCCATGAAGCATTAAAATTCCTGTTGAGGTCAGTTCCGATGCATCTGGAGTTTTTGTTCTTAGAACGATTTTTTCTCCACATGCGGTTCTGCAGGATTGAATGATGGAAGTATTTATATCAAATCAGTCGGCATTTTTCAATTTGATTATTTCTGATTCTCTCTGCAGGTGTCTATAGTTTTATTTGACATTTATCTAGTTAACTTGAGACACTTTATAATAAAGAGAAAATACTACTTCCATAATTTATAATATTTCCAGAAACATTGTTTTTTATATTTATATTCTTCAGCCCTTATGAAATAATTCAGTTTGTTTGGAAAGCTACTGATTAGTTCTCAGTATTAGAAAATGATCAATGGTGTTCTGAAATTACCCATAATTGAAATGATGACTTCATAACATCTTTCACCATTTATAGATTCAGACGTAATACAGGCCAAATTTTAACTGTTGGAACATCATTTTCATAAAATAAATTGATGTGATACTGTTTTTCTGAAATACAGGATCAATCTTATTTACCAACAACAGGGAATAAAAGATTCTGTTAAAAGACATACAAAGAGCCAAATATCTGTGTTTTTCTTCTATAGTCTTTTTCTTTTTTTTGGTGGGTATAATGATCTCACCTCAAATCCTTTCCCAGTGACTTTTGCTCTGAAATTATTGTGCTCATAATGCCTTTAAATGACTTTTATTCTTAGCTAGAATTTGCTTTTGCAATATCATGTACTCATACATTTCTTTTAAAATTGCTGCTTTTAAATTTTTTTTCCCTCCACATTATTAGCCTTGGTAGTAAAAGTTTCATACTATTTCAAGGATACCTAAGCAACTAGGAAATAATCCTTGCTTTAGTCTGAAATTGAGGTTTTTTGAAAGTATATGTTTCTAAATTGGAGTTGACTAGTTAAACTTAATGCCTAACAGTTGATGTGCATTAAAGTCAGTAAATAATAGATCATATAAATGGAAACAAGAGTGTAGAGTAGTACCTGTGTCCATGACCAAATGTATCCATCAACGTTGAAAACAGGAAGGACATAAAAAGTCATTCGGTCCAGGAGTTTGGTCATAATTTTGTTTTTTCCATAACTTTTAGTTGCCTGTAGGGAGAAGAATAATTTAAGCTATTGGTGTGAAATTTAGCTGCTATATGGAAAGCTGTGGTTATAGTAGCAATGACTCTTATTCTTTGAGTCATTTGCCAACGTCACATAGGTAGATTATAAACATTATTTTCCTCTTAATGGCACAAAAATAGATGACCCATGTAGATGGCAGAAAAAATAAACACTTATTAAGATTAGTGAAAATAATTAAACAGAACATTTCTCAAAGGCTTATTCAATTATTTAGACTTGTGCCATTCCAAGTGCAGCAAGCAAGATGCGTTGCATAGGAAGAATGGAGGCCAAGCGGAAAATGAACACTACAGTTTGTTTTAAATGGATTCTTTCCCTCTCATCATTAGGTAAATATAGATTGAATATGTATGGAAAAACTGGAGAGGCACTAGAAAATAATTTTTATTCTGTTAATAAGAAATATTCAAGAATTTAGGGATTGAGCAGTCAACTTTTTTCTCTCACATCTGACTGAAATTTCACTAATTATCTGGACTTTCTGTGGCTAGTGACAGTCTCTCGCAGCATTCTTGGAAAATTTCTTCCAGGTACATCTGCATTTGTAGCCAAAAGATTTCTTATATGCCTGTGATGTGTGTCCCTTTATGGGCTAAGAAGAACCCTTGGTTCTCAGCCAGGAGAGCTAAAATAATTGCAGGGATAAATCAATTCTACTAGCAAATTCTTTCTTAGCAAAAGTGTCCATGCTCAGAAAGTTGATGTCATGCACATCCCATCAGTGTGTTGTATGCAATAGCTGGGAGAAAGGCAAAGTTAAAAGATAGCAGGAGCCAGAATACAATAGAAATAGAGTGAGAGAAATAACAAAGGGGTCCACTTATAAGCTTGTTTTTGTTGTTGTTGTTTTGCCATCGGGTTGGCCCCGACTCATAGCGACCCCTCCTTGGGTTTCCGAGGCAGTATCACTCCGGAAGTAGGAATGCCCAACCTTCCTTCCGAGGAGTGGCTGGTGGGTTTGAACAGCCAGATTTACCTTTAAAAAGTGAGCTTTCACTTGAAAAGGATATTTAAATATGAGCATTCCCAGTACTTGCATGGATAGTGGAAAATCTAAATGGGAACTGTTTTGGTTACATAGTGCCACTCTAACAGAAGATACCACAAATAGGATTGTTTGAATAAACAGGAATTCATTCTCCTACAGTTTGGAGGCATTAAGTCTGAGTTCAAAGCGCCAGGTTCTAGGGGTTGGGTGAAGGCCCCTCAATCTTGGTCTTTAGCTCTGTCTCCTGCTCCTGGCCCACTGAAGCTAGATGCTTTTCTTCACTCAAGCAGCTGCTGGCTGCTGAGGCTGACAAGCCCAAGATTGACAAGTAAAAAGGCACAGTCCCGATGTTACCAAACCACACAGCAGTCCATTAATTCAAGTCCATTGGAAGTCCCGAGGTTGGCAGAGCATGGCGGGCTGCTAAACAATGACATGGCTACATGCAGGGTCCACGTGTGCCATATGCTAGAGACCATTCCCAAAGCTGTTTCTTATATACAGGAAGCAGACCACATATCCAAAGCAGCTACTCAGCTGCTCTAGTAGATTCCACTGTGGAGTTAAATACCAATCTCACCATAGGGAATAACTACATTCAGCTTCTCAGCCACTCAACCAGGCCCAGCCAAGTTGATACACAAACTTAACTACCACAGGAAGTAAAGGTCTCTACTTTGAACTCATTGAAGAAAGGTCAAATTTATAGGTAGTCACTATAAGTCAGACTAGACTCTATGCCAGTCGGTTTTGGTTAATGGAAGATGGAGTCCCTGGGTGATGCAAATGGTTATGTGATGGGCTCCAAACTGAAAGCATTGATGTTTCACACCCACCCAGAGGCACCTTGGAAGAAAGGCCTTGCGATATGCTTCTGAAAGTTCACAGCCATGAAAATCCTATGGAGCACAGTTCTAGTCTAAAGCACGTGGGGTCACTATGACTCAGAACTGACTTGATGGCACTTGTACTTGTTCTAATCTGAAGATAGTTTCAGATTTACCTTACTTCACTATAGGAAAAACTTCCATATTATACTCAAAAAGAGTTACTTTTAAACTCAAAAACTGTCAGCTGGAATTCAAGAAGTTTGAAGGAAGGTATCAATTTTATAAAAATTGCAACGATGAGTAAAATCCTGATCATTTATTTTCTGACAGCACCAAATGCAGGCTCTTGTACTTAAGTGGAACTGCACTCGCGTGGAAAGGGCACTCAGTTAAGTGCTGGAGACTTGATAGTCAAAGGAGAATTGCGAGAGTGTTCCAATTCACTTACCTGATAGACAAACCACTGGCAGAATGCTGGGGAGACCCATTCTCGTGCATGGATGCCACAGTCCATAAAAATAGACTTCTTTTCTTCGTTCTGTTTCCCAACCTATTTAAAAGGAAATTTGAGATATTATTTTGCACGAACTCACACATTGGTCCCATGTCCCATACCTCATTTATATTCTCTTCAAAACAACTCTTTCCACTGTCTATTGTTGAGTGAGTAGCTGTGTAATGCATATATTGTTCTCAGGGAGGACCAGGGAGGGCCATATACTTAAATGTCTATACATAATTCATAATCTGCCATGTGCTGAGTTTTGAAAATTGTTTCTTAGTGTCAGAGTTACTTTAGGATTTTTAAAGTCACAGTCTATTGTTTCTCTCGTTTTATTGCGAACATGCTTTGAGCTGAGAAATAGATTAAAAAGTTTCTTTTGTTTCTGCCATTTGTTTTTGTTTGTTCAGCATCCTAAGCTGGAGTTGTTTAGCCTGGAATAGTGAAGATTCTGTAGTGTGTTTGGAGTGGGGAGATCGAGGGGTGGTAGAAAGTGGCTGGATATTTGAAGGGTTATAATTTTGATGAGAGTTTATGTTTGTTTTAGATGGTTGGACAGAATGAATGTGTGGGAGTTCAGGGTAAAGAAAGGCTTCCCAGTTGTTAGGGGGCTGCTTCAGGGAGCAGTATCTTTGGATGTACAAAACTCCAGCAATAGTCAATGGCTATTGTCAGCCCTGTAATAGATGGGAATCATTCCCCCATCAAGGTGGGATTGAAATGGTTCATTTTCTGTTCTTGGATTCTATGATTCTATAATACTTATATTTCTCTCTTTTTCATGACATTCATTTATCAGTTTCACTGAATTTTAATGATTGGAAACTCTTATATACACCAGGGAATTCACAAACTCTTGCAGAGAAAGATATGGGATGAGATATTATGTAGCTAGTCTACTGTGTAAACTTTGACAACTGGTTTATTCAGGCATTTTCTTGCTTCCACCTAAAACCATTTGTCACTTCTACTCTTGAATGGACAAGTTAAACATTCTTCAAAAGGGAAAGACTTCTGATTGTCTTAACATTAGCCCAATTGTGTCACAAAGTAATTTTTGAATTCATCTTTTGAACATGAATAAGAATCATTTGGTCTTGAACTATTTTTACCTTGAGAACATATAGTGGATTATCTTCAACAGTCGTTCCAATTTTAATACGAGATACCATTTCAGGGCGCTTATTCATCATTTTTTCAGTCCAAGCAACAATCTTAGGAGAAAAACCCATTTTAAGGAATTAGAATAAAAGAAAACTCACAACAAATGTTTGAGGGTGACATTTTTCAAAGTATAGGCATTTGATACTGTACCTTGTCCCAGTTATTATATTTTGTATAGCTGTGCCTGCCTGGGATATCTTCTTTAACATCAAACTGTTTCTCAATCTCTTCTTGCAGATCATGAATCAAGATTCTGTTTGACAGAGAAATGATAAAATACACATTTACTAGAAACGGAAAGTGCAGATATCTTTCATTTGCAGAAATTTTCTCTTCCGTTTCTTCTATCTTTGATCAGGTTAGCCCTGTCTCTTCATGAGTCTCCTCTAGCTCTGTCTCTCAGACATGTCATGTGTCTAGCTTCTGATCCCCCATTTATCTTGATCTGTGTTATGCACTATGGTAGCTTCTAGCCACATGTGGCTAGTGAGCATTTAAAGTACAGCTCATCTGAAAATAGTGAGTGCTGTACCTGTAAAATATGCATTTTAGACTTAGTATAAAAAGATGCAAAATATCTCAATAATATTTATATTGATTACATATTGAAATGATGATATTTTAGATTTACTGGGTTACATAAAACATATTGTTAAAATTAATTTCATCTGTTGCTTTTTACTTTTTTGTTGTGGCTACTAGAACATTGGGAACTCTGGTAGCGTAGTGACTAAGGCACTTGACTGCTAACCAGAAGGCTGGTGGTTCAAAGCCATCAGCCACTCCTTGGAAGGAAGGTTGGGCAATCTACTTCCGTAGTGATACTGCCTTGGAAACCTAAGGAGGGGTCTCTATGAGTCGGGTCTGACTCTGCGGAACATAAGAATAACAACAACTAGAACATTTAAAATTACATATTTGGCTTACATTGTATTTCAATTGGTCAGTGTTAATCTACAACCAACTTTCACCCTTCTTCAAAGTACATGCATAAACACTAACATAGACACTGCACAGGTAACCATGGATATTCTCATCTACAAATCTTTAGATCATCCTTATAATTTCACACTTTGAGGGCCAGGAGAAACTTGAATAATAATAGCAATAACAGCAAACACCATTTACTGTTACTACGTGCTAGGCATTTAAGGAGCACGGGTGGTGCAGTGGTCAAAGTGCTTGACAGCTAATTGAAAAGTCAGCAGTTTGAACCCACCAGCTGCTCAGCAGGAGAAAGATGTGGCAGTCTACTTTCATAAAGATTTACAGCCTTGGAAACCCAATCGGGGGAGTTCTACTCTGTCCTATAGAGTCACTAAGAGTCCGAAACTACTCGATGGCAGTGAGTTTTTAGACATTGCCCTGAACACTTTACATATATTAACTCATTTAATCTTCACATGATATTTTTATCCTCATTTTACAGATGAGAAAACTGAGGCACAGAGTGTTTAAATAACTTGCCCATGATTACAGAGCTAGAAATTGGCTAAGATGGCTTGGGTGGGGAAAGACAGGAAGCAGGAAGAAACTTTGGAAGGCTAACCTTAGGGTTCAGAAATCTTACACTTTCACCCTGTTCTCTTCCTACATCTCTCCTCAAGTCATCTCACCTCATCGTGGAGTCCCATGGTTCTAATGGAGGACCTGACAGTCTTCACATCAACTGTTACTGTGACCCCTGTATTTGTATCTCCAGTTCTGGCCTTGCCCCTGAACTTGGGATTTGGACATCCAACTGCCAACCCAACATTTTCACTTGGATTCAGAAAGTGATTCTCAACTTGAAATTCATTTTACTTTATTTTATGTGGTGGAGACCTAATTAGGTTTGTTATCAAAGAGTTTACTAATTATTCAAATACTATAATACTAATAATAACTTCTATTTATTATTGTTTAATATGTGTCAGGTACTGTTTTGTGCTAGGTTTATCTTTTGAACACAAATAAGAATTTTATTTAATGTTTTCAATATTATCACTATTTTACAGGTGACAAAATTGTTCCTTTGGATGTTTCAGTACTTTTCCCACATCACACAAAAGGTGGAAATTGAACATAAGCTTGTCTGACTTCAAAATTAATATTTTCAAATACCATCACCATCATATACAAAATATTTTTGTCTGTTTTGGAATTTTCTATTCTGCTCCATTGATATATTTTCCTACTGTTTTGTAAGAACTGAACTATATTTAATTAAGGTACATTTTAATGTAGGATAAAATGTCTCCCTCGTCCCCTTTTAATAAATGGTTGGCAGAATAATTTTGTTAAATTAGAAAAACCTTGGCTTTTCATTGGAATCACATTAAATTATGAATCAATTTGAAAGCAATCTTATTTTTTAATAAAGAAACATAATATAGCTGTAGGAACTCTGGTGGCGTAGTTCCTAAGGCATTTGACTGTAAACCATAAGGCTGGCAGTTCAAACCCAGTAGCCACTCCTTGGAAGGAAGACTGGGCAATCTACTCCTGTAGAGATACTGCCTCGGAAATCCAAGGAGGGGTTGTTATGAGTCGGGACTGGCTCAATGGCAGTGAGTTTGATTTTTGGTTTTAATATAGCTGTATTTTTTTTTTTTATTCTTCAGTGAAATTTTGAATATTTATTGTTTATTAATAGATTTTTAAATTACCCTTGTGAGTAGCTTTTTGTCTTCCATGATAATTTTGAACTAATTATCATTCATTTATTAAGAAAGTTATTGCTTTGGTTATCCTACTACCCACTTTATAATTCAATTTTACAACAGATATTGTTAGTATCAGCCATTTAAAGAAAAGAACTATCTTTTTTATTTCTAAGAAATTTTTAGTTATGCCTTTAGGGCTTTATGTGTAGCTATTTCTTCTGCAAATAATTATACTTTCTACTTCTTTTTTATTTTATTTATTGTGATTTGGGTGAAGATTTACAGAGCGAATTCACTTTCCATACAGCAGTTCACATATACTTTGTCTCATGTCACTGACCACAGTTTACAATGCAACAGCTCC